GTCTGTGGATTACACTGGGGTGGCAGAGGGGTTCTGGGGAGGGCTCTGAGCTGGGGGGGATTTCCTGCCATCCGAGCGGTACCAGATATTGATGGCTCTGGGTCCTGGCGCCTCTCTGGACCTGTGGACACCCGGCTCCGGGCGGGAGGCCATGCTTGCCTCACCTGTCCTGGCTGGCTCCCACGTGTGCCGTGTCCCGGGCCGCCCTCTTTGGTGGGGGGGGGGCAGGGGAGGGGACTGTTGCCCTCCCCACCTGCAACCTCACCTCACCCCGTCCAGTCCTAGCCCTGGGACTGAGTCCCAGAACCTGTGATGATGTCTCTCCAATGTCCCTGGGCTCCTGTGACTCACCTGTCCCGGATCGCCCTGAGCATCCCGGCCAGGCCTCTTATCAGGGAAGGCGCAGTGACTTACACCTGCCTCCTTCTCCCTTCTTTCTCTCCCTCCACCCTCATCCTGTTCCAGGCAGCTTTGGGTTGTCTTTCTGCCACCCTTCCAAGCCCCCATTTCCAGGGTCCCTTCCCTCCCCCAGGGCGCAGAGAGGGGGGGGGAGGGAGAGAGGAAGAGAGGGAGAGAGAGAGGGAGAGAGAGTCTTTCTCAAACAGAAACCTGAGCTGGGCGTGGTGACGCATGCTTGTAATCCCAGCACTTGGCAGGCCGAGGCAGGAAGATCACGAGTGAGCCTGTGCCACAGAGCACAGCTCAGTGTCAAGCAGCAACAAAAAGATTAAAAAAAAACAAACCCTAGGATTCTGCTTAAAAGAATTAAAAATAATAATATTTTATTTTATTTTATTTTTTCCTGTGGTACTGAGAAATCGAACCCAGGGCTTCATGCATGCTAGGCAAGCACTCTACCACTGAGCCACCTTCCCAGCTAATTTATTTTTTTGGTTGGTGGTGAGAATTGAACTCAGGACCTGGGTGCATCCCTGAGCAATTTTGCTCAAGGCTAGCACTCTACCACTTGAGCCACAGCTCCACTTGTAGTTTTTGAGTGGTTCACTGGAGATAAGAGTCTCCTGGGGGCTTTTCTGACCAGGCTGGCTTCGAACTGAGATCCCCAGGTCTCAGCCTCCTGAGCAGCTCCCAGCTAAAAATAATGATAATTAAAACAGAAGCTCCTGTCTTTTCTTTCCTCTGCTTGCATCCCGCTGTGGCTCCCAGTCCCTTGGGAGAAAATTCAGGGTTTTCTCATGAATCTTTTATGCCCCTCCCCCCCCAGTGGCTTCATAGAACCCCTGTGGCAAAAGCAGACTGGTGAGCCAGGTGCCTGTAACTCACACCTGTCATCCGAGCTACTCAGGAGGCTGAGATCTTGAGGATGGTGGTTTGAAGCCAGTCGGGCCAGGAAAGTCCGTGAGACTCTAATTTCCAATGAACCACCAGAAAACCGGAGGTGACGCTGTGGCTCAAGTGGTAGAGCACCAGCCTTGAGTGAAAAAGCTCAGGGACAGAGCCCAGGCCCTGAGTTCAAGCTCCAGGATTGGCACAAAAACGAAACAAAAACACCAACCAACAAGCAAAGCAGACTGGTGGTCTGGCTGTCCTGATCTCTCTCTGACAGTCCTAGACCTGGGCCTCTCGAGGTTGCCCAGGCCGATCTGGGGACTCCTGGCCCCCAACCATCCTCCTGCCCCAGCCTCCACAGGAGCTGGGGAGGTGGGGGTGGGGTCTCTGCCATGGTGGCTTTACCCCAGCCCAACCCAAAGAAGCCAGGCTGCAGAGAAGACCAAGGCTCAGGGCCACGGCCTGGCCAAGAGGCGGCAGGTAATTTTCTGCTGGGCCATCTGGGGACACAGCCCGGTGACCTTATTTTGTCCCTTATCTCACCAGTCCCCTGGGGAGCTCTGGGAGGGGGTGCCTGCCCGCCCCCCCATCACTGGCTTTATCAATATCTGTCTTGGAGATGGAGCCAGGCTGCGTGGTGGGTGGGGCCTTTCCTCCCTAGCCACTGGGGCTTGAGAAGGGCGTGGCCTCTGGAATGGGGCGTGGTCTCCAGGGGTGGGCGTGGCTGCAGACTGGGAGAAGGGAATCCAGGCCTCCTTCCAATCATTCCTCACTCACGTGTGGAGGCGGGGTGGGGAGGGATGGAGGGGAGGGGGAGTGGAGGGAGGGGGGTGGGGGGAGGGGGGTGGGGGGAGGGGGGGAAGGCTGGGCCTTGTCTTCTTCCATGGCCTCCCCACAGCCAAGGCTGGGGGTATCATCGAACGAACCTTCATCTTCAGAAAGACAAGGACACACACAGGGCTGGGAAGGCGGCTCAGTGGTAGATTGCTCGCCTGGCAGGCATGAAGCCCTGGGTTCGATTCCTCAGTACTATATACACAGAAAAAGCCAGATGTGGCGCTGTGGCTCAGGTGGTAGAATGCCAGCCTTGAGCCAAAAGAAGCTCAGGGACAGTGCCCAGGCTCTGAGTTCAAGCCCCAGGACTAGCCAAAAAAAAAAAACAAAACAAAACCTGACACCTAAAGTCAAGTAGTGGGAAAGACTGGGAGAAGACACCAGAAAACCAGGCAGCAGTTGGGGGAGGGGGCCCACCTTCCTCCAGAGGTGACCCGGAGCCTGTGGATATGGGGAGGAGGGGGAAGGGGAGGAAGAATGTGTTCTGGTAGCTGGCATGGCACGTGTAAAGGACCTGGGGTCGGGAGGTTTAATGAGCTGAGCATGGAGGGGGCTGGTGTTGAAGTAAGGAGGTCAGGTCTGGCCGGCGCCATATTGGCCACATGGTGGATGGTAGGGGTCTTCCTGCTGGAGGAAGGACCCCCCCCCCCCTTGCAGGTAATGTGCCGGCTCGGATCCCTGGAGGCAGGGGCAGGCACTTGGCTGATAGGTTTGTTTTTCTGTTTTTTTTGGGTCCGGTCATGGGGCCTGAACTCTGGGCCTGGGTGCTGACCCTCAGCTCTTCAGCTCAAGGCTAGTGCTCTACCACTTGAGCCACAGCCCCACATCCGGCTTTTTTCTTTTTGCTTATGTGGTGCTGAGGATTCAAACCCAGGGCCTCTGGCATGCAAGGCAAGCGCTCTACCACTGAGCCACCTTCCCAGCCCCTTGGCTGATAGGTTACTGAATCTGTCAGTCCAGTGCCTGAGACTGGGAACTTCCTAAGGATCTGCCCCCTGCCCAGACCTATTTAGGCCCAGACCAGCCTAGCCGCTGGGACTCCATTCCACGTGTGTCTCTGTGATCGTGTCCTGTGTCCTGTCTCCTGGCTCATCTCCAGTCAGCATGGCATCCCAGTTCAGCTCTCCATTGGAGCTGAATTGGCTTGTTGGTATTGTTTTGGTTATCTCTTTCCTCTTTAGCATGTTTCCTAGCTGTGTTATGTGTATTTGCATGCTACAAGCCTTTGTAACAACTGGCAGCCTGCAGCCTGTTAACTGTATAATGAAGACTCCGATATTCTATATTTTAAAGTGCGGCTTCTGGGATGATTTACCTTACAACAGTGTGTGAGGGGGAGGGAGGAGGAGGGACACACACACACACACACACACACACACACACACACACACACACACACACACACACACACACCTGACTGGAAATGGTCGTGGTCTCTGCTGCCCCCTGCTGGCCGCAGGTGGAAGTCCATCCTGCCCGTGGCCAGGAGCCCTCACCATTCTGGGATAACGAAGTGTCAGGGACACCACATCTGACCCCAGCACCTCAAGCCTGGCCTCCAGGGGCCTGCTGCTCCCCTCCCTCCCACAGCTCCCATGGACTCCAGACTGGCCTCAGCCACCACTTCCTTCCCTCCCGTTGTTTTGTGGGTTTTGTCTGAGAGACTGGGTCTAAAATTCAGTACCTGACGCTTTCACTCATTGGCTGGTGCGTGACCACCTGAGCCATGCCTCCAAACCCTGTTTTTTTTTCCCCAGAACAGTTTTTTTTTCTTCGTCAATTGTGGGGCTTGAACTCAGGGTCTGGATGGTGTCAGATCTCAGCCAGGATGACAGGCTGGAGCCACAGCACCTGGCTCCAAAGTAAGTTTTTGTTTTTGTTTTTGATCGGTCGTGGGGCTTGATCTCTGGGCTTGGGCGCTGTCCTTCAGCTCTTTGGCTCAGGGCAAGCGCTCTACCACTTGAGCCACAGCACCACCCTGGTGTTCTGATGGTTTATTGGAGATAAGAATTTCACAGCCGGGCGCTGGTGGCTCACGCCTGTAATCCTAGCTGCTCAGGAGGCTGAGATTTGAGGATCACGGTTCAAAGCCAGCCTGGGCAGGAAAGACCATGAGACTCCTATCTCCAATAAAACCATCAGAAAACCGGAAGTGGCGCTGTAGCTCAAGTGGTAGAGCGCTCGCCTTGAACTGAAGAGCTGAGGGACAGCGCCCAGGCCCAGAATTCAAGCCCCACAGCCGACAAAAAAAAAAAAAAATAAAATAAAATAAAAAAAAGAATTTCACGAACTTTCCTGCCTGGGCTGGCTTTGAACCATGATCCTCAGATCTCAGCCTCCTGAGTAGCTAGGATGACAGGCATGAGCCACGAACGCCTGGCCTCCTAAACAAGTTTTTTGGAGGTATAATTTTCCACACCACACAATCCATGCGTTAATGATTAATGATTTATTTATGTTGTGGCAGTCTCGGGGTTTGAACTCAGGGCCTGGGCGCTGTTCTTGAGCTTCTGTGCTCAAGGCTGCTGCTCTGCCACACAAGCCATAGCGTCCCTGGTGAATTGTTCTCTGGTTCATTGGACATCAGAGTCTCACAGGCTTTCCTTTCCGGGCTGGCTTTGAACCATGATCTTCAGACCTCAGTCTCCTGAGCAGCTGGGATTACAGGTGTGAGCCACCGTGTCCCACCTTCAGAGTGGATTTTGAGGGTGTTGCAGCTTTTGGGGGGTGGGTGGAGCCAGCTATGGGCCTCACCCCTGTGTGGTGGAGGGAGTCTGGGGGGGCTGGGGGAGCTGGGCTGCGCTGTCCCATCCCCTCGGGGCCCCCACGCTGGGGCCCAGGTCCTTGCAGCCTTGGCTGTGGTGCCCCTGTTCACCCCCAGAAGATGGTGGGGGCTGCGCCATCAGGCAGTTGGCGCCAGCTGACAGTAAGGGGCCGGGTCGGGGTTGAGCAAGTCCTGGGGGGCAGAGAAGAAGCCATGATGGGGGTGTGGTGCAGACAGGCAGGATGCCAGAGACCCCCATGGGGAGAGATGGGGGTGCGGGACAGGGCCAGAGACACATAGGGGCAGACTGGACAGTGTGTTTCTCTTTGTGGGGTGCTGGGCTTTGAACCTGGGGCCTTGCACACTTGAGCTGTCTCTACTTTTGCCTTCCCCCTTGGCAAGAGGGGTGGAGCGGGCCTGAGAGGCCTAGTCCACATGGGGGGAACCAACCCGCTGCTGTGTGACCTGGGGCCGGTGTCTTTCCCTCTCTGGGCCTTGTTCCTTTTGTGTAAATCCAACACCTGGGAGGGATGGGTGTGCCCAGGACCCTCGGGGATCCCCCAGGGTGAGTGTAGCCCCCCCACCCTGGCTGTCCTCCCCCACCTTGGCTCCAAGAGGCACCCCCCCTTTGTACCTGGTAGTGTTGGGGTTCTGGCTGTGGCTGTGGCTCAGGAAGTGGGGGCTGCAAGAGAACAGCATGGGTGAGCCAGGCCCCCCAATATCCCCAGCCCCAGCCCCTGCGGTCCACATGATCTGGGTGCTGTGTCCATTGGTGCTCAGTGTCCTTAATGTCTGGAGGGGGGGGGAGCTGTCCACCGGCCCCACCTCAGCCCTGTTTACCTGTGTGTGTGTGTGTGTGTGTGTGTGTGTGTGTGCGCGCGCATGCATGTGTGCCGGTCCTGGACCTTGAACTCAGCACCTGAGCACTCTTCCTTTGCTTTTGTGCTCAAGACTAATCCTCCACTTGGACCGCAACTCCACTTCAGGCTTTTTGCTGGTTCATTGGAGATAAGAGTCTCCTGGACTTTTCTGCCAAGGCTGGCTTCAAACCATGATCCTCAGATCTCAGCCTCCAGTGTAGCTGGAATTACAGGTGTGAGCTACCAGCACCTAGCTGTTATTTTGTTTTGGAGATAAGGCCTAGAACTTGCCATCCTCCTGCTCCAGCCCCATTACGCCTGGCTAAGCCTTTGCTTGGTACATTTCTCTCTCTCTCTTTTTTTTTTTTGGTCAGTTGTGGGTCCTGAACTCTGGGCCTGGGTGCTGACCCTCATCTCTTCAGCTCAAGGCTGGCGCTCTACCACTTGAGCCGCAGCATCACTTCTGGCTTTTTCTGCTTATGTGGTTCTGAGGAATCGAACCCAGGGTCTCATGCATGCAAGGCAAGCGCTCTACCACTGAGCCACCTTCCCAGCCCCAGATTTCTCCTTTAAAAAAAAAGAATTAAAATCATTTATTTTACTCACTCTTCCCGCCTCTTTGTTTCCCCATAATAAAGGGAAAATCTCGGGATCACAGATGATCACAGACAGAAAATAGAGCGGCCTGCCAGCTTCCGCCCTGTGGCTCCCCCCTGTAATCTCAGCTACTCAGGAGGCTGAGAACTGAGGATCCCGGTACCGAGCCAGCCTGGGCAGGAAAGTCCTTGAGACTCTTATCTCCAAGGAACTGCCACAAAGCTGGAGGTGGAGCTGTGGCTCATGTGTTCGAGCACCAGCGTTGAGTGGAAGGGGTCAGGGACGGTGCCCAGGCCCTGAGTTCAAGACTCAGGACAGGCACCAAATTAAAAAATAAAAAGACTCAGGATAGACTCACCGCAGCTGGGGTCAGGAGCAACACTGGGGATGGTATCACTTCATACATGTTGCTGTCACCTAGACGGAGGGCAGAAGGGGCCCTGGGCTTGCTCTACCTCCATGCCCAACTGTGACCATCACAGTCCCATTCTTGCCCTCCTGGGGCCTGTGGGAGGCTGACCCAGCTCAAGGAACCACGCTTGGCTTGGCTACTCACACACACACACACACACACACACACACACACACACAAACACACACTCGCTCCGTTTGTGGACTTGTGAGGGATGAAGTCAAGAAAGACAGTGAGAGGCGGGGCATAATGGCTCACGCCTGTAATCCCAGCTTCTCAGGAAGCTGAGATCTGAGGATTGATGTTCGGAGCCAGCCCCGGAGATGGGGGTGGGGGGAGGAGGGGGAAGGAAGAGGCAGGAAAGCCCCAAGAGATTTTTATCTTTGACTAACCAGCCAAAAGCCAGAAGGGAGGCGTAGTTGAAGCGGTAGAGCACCGGCAGAGCAAGTTAAGTGTGAGTTTATGAAGGGTCTTGGGCCCCATGCTAAGGAGCCTGAACCTTGTTCCCAAGGGCGCTGGAGGGACTGAGTGGGGATCTTGGAGGTGGAGTGTGGTTTGGTGGAGGCTTGGGGGGGGGGGGTCCCCAGCGAGGTGTGGGTGAGAAGTGGGGCGGGGGGTGCTCCCTGCTCACCCGTATCACGACTGGGTCTCAGCTCTGGCTTCTCCCTGGCTGGCATCCTGGAAAGGCACAAGGGAAAACTCATTAGACCAGTCCCTGCTGAGGCCAGGCCCACCCCGGCCAGTAGGGGGAGACAGAGAGCAGAAAGGCAGGCCTGGGAGATTCTGTACCTGGAACTTTGCTCCCCCCAGCTCCGTGTCACCAGGAGGTAGGCCAGGCCGCCGATGAGAAGACTAGCCACGGCCAGAGGGCCCACGATGGCCGCGGCTACCACCCCGGCGTTCATGGGCACGTGGGCAGTGGTAGGCTCCGTGTGTGTTCCTTCTGCAGGTGACAGAGGACCACGTGAGGCCCCCCCCCCCCACCCCATGGCCTTCCACCCCAGTGTGTGAGGCCCTCGGGCCAGCTTTCTGTGGTTTTCCAACCCCAGCATCCCACCCTCAGGATGGTTTATAAAACTACAGCCAGGTGCTACACACTGGTCCTCCCAGCACTCGGAAGGCTGAGATCAGAGGCTCTGAGTTCAAAACCAGCCAGGTCAGAAGCGGCTATGAGACTCTGACCTCCAATGAACCACTCCAAAACTGGAAGTGGAGCCATGGCTCAAGTAGTAGAGCACCAACTTTGAGCCAAAACAACAACAACACACACACACAAGTTCAGGGACAGCACCCAGGTCCTGAGTTCAAGTCCCAGGACAGGCACAGGACAAAAAGAAAAGTCAGATGCCCCCTGATGTCCCCCACCCTGCCCCCAGTGCCTTTCCCAGAGCTGCTACATCGGTAGACATGAAGATGGTGGATGGCCTGCATTTCTCAGGATCATGTAGACAGGGGGTGCTAAATAAGTCCCGGGCTCATGAATGCATGACTGAAGCCAGCAAGATGGCGGTGTTCTTTGGAGTGCATCTGGCCTTGGGTGTTTTGCCGGTTCATGTGAGTGGAGATGGACCAAGGCCTTGCACGCCGTGGGCTCTCCGTGTGTTGGTGGGAATGGTGGATCCTGGCGTGTGGCAGTTTCTAGGGGAGTCACCAGCACCCCCACTTCATCCCCAACCCCTCCTCCACTCACCAACCACCTGGACGTGGGCCTTGGCCCTCATGGTCCAGGCCGAGTTGACGGCCAGGGCGACTTGGTAGAGGCCACTGTCCCCGGGCTGGGCGTGGCGCAGCAGCAGGGAGCCATTGGGGAAGCCGACCATGTCCCTCTGCCCCATGGCCTCTCCATCCCTCTGGGGTCGGGGCAGCTCCGGGATGTAGGTGAACAGTCTGGTACCCCCGTCCGTGGTCTCCCCCAGGTACCAGGTGACATCCTGGAAGGTGCTGGGGACCCCGTGGAGGGACAGGAGAAGATCCTGGTTCTTCTGAGGCATTTCTGGAATCTTCTGGATGCTGAGGGAGGCCTGGGAGCATTGAGGCAGCCACAGGACCAGGACAGAAGCTGTGGGAGGAGGATAGGGAAGCGTGAAGGGAGAGGGGCCTGAGCTTGTGGGCAGGGCTGGCAGGGACCACTGCCATCCCCCTTTCTAGAGACCTTCCCTCTGGCTGCATTGCACACTATGCTGGGATCGATTAGTGATGTCTGCCCTGGGTGCGGGTATGCGAAGATTGGTCTGGATACCACAGCTTGTGTGCTGGGATCCATTAGTGATGTCTGCTCCAGATGCAGGCGTGGGGAGATGGCCCTGGGTAAACCACAGATTCTCCATTCCATTCTCCCAGAAGGCTTTTCTGCCCTGAGGTGCTGCCTGACCCACCCCACAAACACTGGGAATCTCTGAGCTCATTCATTCAACCCATACTCATAAGCATATACATGGATATGAAGTGTAGGATGATGGATATCAGCCAGACAGGATTTAAATTTCCCTAGGTTTCAGCTGTGCATGGGTGGCTCACGCCTGTAACCCCAGCTACTCAGGAGGCTGAGATCTGAAGATGGCTGTTTGAAGCCAGCCCAGGCAGGAAAGTCTGTGAGATGCTTGACTCCAATGAGTCACAAACACCCAGAAGGAGCTGTGGCTCAAGTGGTAGAGCACCAGCCTTGAGAGAAAAAGCTCAGGGACAGTGGCCAGATCCTGGGTTCAAGCCTCAGAATGGGCACATGGATGCATATGTATATATGCTCACATGTGTGCGCGCGCACACACACACACACACACACACACACACACACACACACACACACACTCCCCTTGAATTCTAGTGGTTGGGGATTCAATAGGAATCAAATCAGGAGGCTGAGATCTGAGGATTGCGGTTCAAAGTCAGCCTGGGAAGAAAAGTCTGTGAGACTCTTATCTCCAATGAACCACCAGAAAACGAAGTGGCGCTGTGGCTCAAGTGGACAGCGCCCAGGCCCAGAGTTCAAGCCCCACAAAAAACAAAAATAAATAAGTGAATAAACAACAACAATAACAAACAGGAATCAAAACCCATATTTCTGACCTAATAGAACATTCCAGAGAGGAAATGGAGAAGTGATGCTGCTGTTCTGCCCCCTGTGTACGGCTCCCTGCTTATTCCCATCATGTTATCTTCTCCAGTAATATTCCATTTTTCTGAGGAGGAACCTCCTCCCCTTCCCAGACCTGGGTTCAAGTCCTACCTTCTCCAGTCAGCCTTCCGGTTTGTTCTTACCTGACAGGAAGAGGCTGTTCGCCAGGTGGCCCTGGGGGCCAACAAGGGGCCCCATGTGGCGTCCGTTGGCGACGCCCAAGGGTCCCAGTGTGTCTGTCGTGTCTCTGGTGGGAGCTTCCCAGGGGACTCAGGAACCCAGCGCGGCTGCCTGGTGCCTGCCCGCACCCCACAGTCCTGTCACGGCCTCCCCAGGCTCCACCTGCCTGGAAGCAGGGACACTGGTTGAACCAGTTCCCCACAGGTGACTGGGAAGTTCACCCAGGGGCTTTCCCCAGCCTCCTCCTAATTATAGACACCCCACCCCAGCCTTGCTTCCCACTGCACAGCTGGGGAAACTGAGGCTCAGGAAGACTGGCAAGGCGGCTGGGAGCAGAGGTGGAAGTTCATCCTCTGCCCCGCCTGCCCCAGGGCTGGCTTATAACCTTTTCAGGAGCATTCATTCAGCCCAGGCTGGTGGCTCACGCCTGTAATCCTAGCTACTCAGGAGGAAGAGATCTAAGGATTGCGGTTCAAAGCCAGCCTGGGCAGGAAAGTCTGTGAGACTCTTATTTCCAATGAACCACCAAAAAGTCAGAAGTAAAGCTGTGGCTCAAGGGATAGAGTGCTCCCCTTGGGATAAAAGAAGCTCAGGGACGGTGCCTAGGCCCTGAGTTCAAGCCCCAAGACTGGCCTACACAGACACACAGAGACTATCATTCATTCATTCATTCATTCCTGGTACCCAGTCCCTGACACAGTGGCGGTCGTGGCTCCTGCCTATTCTCTTTTCTCCGTGGGGGTCACAGCCCTGGAGAAACCAAGGGGGCTGAGAGGCTTTCCTGGTGGAGGCGACATCTCGACATCTCAGCTGCGACTTGAAGTGGCAATACCAGTGGGACAAGTTGGTGGCTGGGGTGGGGCGGGGCCTCCGGGGCAGGGGGGAAAGAGCATGCAAAGGGGCAAAGAGCTGGTGTTCCAAGTGCATTGTGGGAACTGGCAATTGGGGGGTGGAGGGAGGAGTGGGGAGAGGCCTTGTGCCACTGGGGTGGGGGGAGGGGTCCCTGCAGTACCTAGACTTGAACCCAGGGCCTCTCCTACGTGCAGGGCAGGTGTCGCAAGCCTTCCCTTCCTCCTGACTGGGACTTGCTTTGTAACCGAGACTGGTTTCAAACTCACGATCTTCCTGCCTCAGCCCCTGGGTGCTGGGATTATATACACACACCCCCAGCCTTGGCTGGGCTTTGATTCTTTTTACTTTTTTTTTGTGCCAGTCCCAGGGTTTGACCGCAAGGCCTGGGAACTAGCCCTGAGCTTTTGTACTCAAGGCTGATGCTCTACCACTTGAGCCAAGGCGCCACTTCTGGCTATCTGGAGGTTAATTAGAGAGAAGAGTCTTAGAGACTTTCCTGCCAGGGCTGGCTTTGAGCCTCAATCCTCAGATCTCAGCCTCCTGAGTAGCTAGGATGACAGGCGTGAGCCATCCGTACCTGGCTATAACTCCATAAGCCAGGCACTGTGTGCTCACACCTGTCATCCCAGAGACTCACAAGGCTGAGATCTAGAGGATCAAGGTCAAGAGCCAGTCTGGACAGAAAAGTCCTGGACACTTCATCTCAAGTAACCAGAAGAAAGCTGGCCTGGAGCCCTGGCTCAGGTAGGAAAGCACCAGCCAAACAAGCAAGAGCAGTGAGCATGAGGCCCTGGGGAACACGGTGGTGACCCCACTGTCTGGGAGGGGTTCCCCCAAAGTCCTCCTTGCTGCAGTTGTGTGATTTCTTACCTGCACCTTGGGAAGGCGGTGCAGTGAATTATTTTCAAGCTAAGCTGCTCTGGATTTTCCAGTTCTTCCAGTCATTCATTCATTCATTCAGTCTGTCTGTCTGTCTGTCTGTCTCTCTCACATACTTCCATCAATTTTATCAAAGTCTTTTTTTTTATATCAAAGTCTTATTCAGAGTATTTAGAAGAGCTTTTCTGAGCCCCCCTTGCCTCCACCTACCTGGGAAAGAAGCAAATTACAATTTCTTCAGCCTGGGTTGTTGGCGGGTCTGTGCGCAGGCAGCAGAGGACCAATGGCAGCAGGAACCCAGGTTTTAAATGCGGGGAGGGTCATGGAGCAGAGCTGAACGCACTAGTCCCATCATGAGATGCATGTGTGAAGCAGGAATCACAGGGCATCTTGGGACCAGCCCTTCACCTCTGAGGACAGTGGGCACTTCTCCCTGGCCGGTCCCCATGGCATTAGTGGCATTGCAAGTTGTGACATTGAAAGTCCTGTTGATGGCCTTGTTCACCGCAGCAATCCGGACCTGGGTACCCTGGGCCTGAGCCGAGCCGGGCAGGGTCCCCTAGGTCCTGAGCCCAGTGATAGATGGGTAAGGAAGAGGAGGTCTCCACTGGCAGTCCCAAGTGGGCTGGCAAAGACACAGGCAGCCTCAGGCTCTGTGTAATACAAGATGTGGCTTTTCTGAATCACCGGGATCCTGCTTATCCCAAAAGCCTGTGTTGGTTGCTGAGCTCCCAACCTCTTCCCCCTCCTGTTTTTAATTGGACCTGTCTTTGCCATTCCCCATATGGTCACCAGGGGGGGGGGGGGCGTGCAGCTAGTCCATTTAGCTCTGTAGCCAGCAGGGGGTGCAGGAGCCCAGATCATCTCACATCCCCTCAGGCAGAGCTGGCCCTGCCCCAGCAGACCTGCCACCTGCTGCCCCCAACTACCTCAGCTGGCTCTCTCTGTCCTAGCTAGGTGTGCTGGCTAATGGCAGGTGGCACAGGGAAGAAACAGCCATGCAGGAAGCAGAGCCAGCTCTGTGGGAGCCCCAAATTGTACAGTTTGAGGTAAGACAAATCAAGACGACCAGGCATGTTTGATGTTGCTGTTTTTGGTGGCTCTGGGGTTTGAACTTGGGGCTCTGTGCTTGCTGGGGAAGATGGGGCTTCCTCTTGAATTTTACCCTCCTCCTGCTCTCCAGTCTTTTTGTCTGTGGTTAATTCTTAAGTAGAGTCTGGCACTTTTGCCTCTACTGGCTTTGAATGCAGACGTTCCCACTTTCTCCTCTTGAGTAGCTGGAATTACAGAGGTGCACCACCACATGCATTAAAAAATAAAGAGAAAAAATAGCTAGGAATGTGGCTTGATGGTAGAGTGTATGCCTAGAATGCATGGAGCCCTGGCTCAGGTAGTAAAGCACCAGCCAAACAAGCAAGAGCAGTGAGCATGAGGCCCTGGGGAGCATGGTGGTGACCCCCACTGTCTGGGAGGGGTTCCCCCAAAGTCTTCCTTGCTGCAGTTGTGTGATTTCTTGTCTGCCCCTTGGGAAGGCGTTGCAGTGATTTATTTTCAAGAGAAGATGCTTTGGATTTTCCAGTTCCTCTAGTCAGTCAGCCAGTCATTGATTCAGGCATTCCTTCAGTTTGTCTGTCTGTCTGTCTGTCTCACACACTTTGAATCCTTTTCCATTATTCAATGTTATCCGAGCTACACAGGAGTTTGAGATCTGAGGATCTTAGTCTGAGCCCAGCCTGGGAGACCCACTCCATGAGACTCTTATCTCCAATGAACCACCCAAAAGCTGAAGTGGAGCTGTGGCTGGAGTGGTAGAGCACAAGCCTTGAGCAAAAAAGCTCAGGCTAGCCCATGGGCCCCTAGTTCAAGCCCCAGGACTGGCAAAAAACAAACAAATAACTAAATTCCACAAAGTAAAATAAACAAATAATTAATTTAATAAATTGCTAGAGGCAGAGAAAGGGATCATTCCCAAAAACCAGCCATCTTCTCTAAGTCTGCCAACACCGTGGACCCTGCTTTCCTTGTTCTGCTCTGGGCCCTCACTTCTGATATCTGGCCAATTCTCCCCTCTTATTTGCGTCTTGCTGCCGCCAAGACCACAAATAAGCTTTTAATAGTTTACTTTAAGCCTCAATATCTGTCATCCTAGCTACCCAGGAGGCTGAGATCTGAGAATCGTGGTTCAAATCCAGTCCAGGCACAAAAGTCCATGAGACTCATCTCCAGTGAACCACCAGAAAATGGGAAGTAGCACTGTTTCTCAAAATAGTAGAGCCCTAGCATTGAGCAAAAGAGCTCAGGGAAAGCGCCCAGGCCCAGTTTAACACTCCTCCCCCAGACCCATAACAAATAAATAAATAAACAAATAAACAAAAGTTTACTTTGCTGCTCTGGGGTGGAGGCTTCTGGCTTAGAGGTGGTCCCAGGCCAGCTTGAGACTGGTGACTCCTCAGTAGCTGGGATTACAGGTGTGTACTACCACACCAGCTTGTTATTAAGGGACTGAGCACTGTCCCCACGAGTCCTCTGGGAAAGGGAGTGGCAGATCCAGCCTGGTCCCCTCAGATATGTCCTAGGCCTCTTCAGAGCTCTCTAGTCTTCCTTGCAAATGGCAGAAGTGGCTGAGGGCATATCTGACTGGTGTGGGCTCTGGAGGGGTCTCAAGGTTGAGCCCAAGGTCTTCTGTTGGCTCAGCTGGTGCTATACCACTTGTGCCATGATTCCAGAAAGGCCTTTTGCTTAGTAACTGGAGATAGAGTCTTGAGGTTTTGAATGTTTGGTTCCCCTGGATGTCAGTCTTCTGAGTAGCTGGGCCCGTGAGGCTGTGGACGGGTCATGCGCTGTAGAGAAGGAGAGGCCGCCAGCCCTCCGTCTGTGCATTCACGGCACATGGTGGGAGTCGGGGCCGGTGATGCTGTCACCATTGCTGGCTGCTGTGTCTTTCACAGGATCATCCTCCTTGCGTACAGGTGAATATGCAACATTCTAGAAGGAGACAGCTGTTAGTCAACAATCTTTGTTGCTAGGAACATGGTAGAGGGCTTGCCTAGCATGCATGAAGCACTGGGTTCGATTCCTCAGTGCCACATAAACAGAAAAAGTTGGATGAGGTGCTGTGGTTCAAATGGCATAGTGCTAGCCTTGAATAAAAGAAGCTCAGGGACAGTGCCCAGGCTGTGAGTTCAAGACCTAGGACTGGCAAAAATAAAATGAGGCTTTTCTATCCTTTCTCTCTTTCTTTCTCTCTCTTTCTCTCTCTCTTTTCTTTCTTTCTCTCTCTCTTTCTCTCTCTCTTTCTTTCTCTCTTGCTTTCTCTGTTTCTTTCTCTGTTTCTTTCTTTGTTTCTGTCTTTCTTTTTTTTGTTTGTTTGTTTGTAAGGCTCAAACTGAGGGCCAGGTCGCTGTCCCTGAGCTCTTTTGCTCAAGGCTACCACTCTATAACTTTTTTTTGGGGGGGGGCCTGAACTCTGGCCCTGGGCGCTGTCCCTCAGCTCTTCAGCTCAAAGCTAGCACTCTACCACTTGAGCCACAGCGCCACTTCCAGTTTTTTTCTTTTTGCTTATGTGGTGCTGAGGACTCGAACCCAGGGCCTCATGCATGCAAGGCAAGCGCTCTACCACTGAGCCACCTTCCCAGTCCACACTCTATATCTTTGAGCTATAATGTCACTTCCAGTTTTCTAGTGGTGAATTGGAGATAAGAGTGTCATGGACTTTCCTGCTCAGGATGGTTTTGAACCATGATCCTCAGATCTCAGCCTCCTGAGTACCTTGGTTTCAGGCATGAGTCACTGTTGCCCAACTGAAACATAGGCAGTTTTAAGTCCTATCCAGCTGATATCCATAATCTTACACTTCATATCCATTTATGTGCTTATACGTATGGGTTGAATGAATGAGTTCAGAGATTCCCAATATTTGTTGGGTGGGTCAAGCAGCATCTCAGGGCAGAAAAATCTTATGGGAGAACAGGATGAATACTGTGTGGTTTCCCCAGACCCATCTTCCCATGCCTGTCCTGGGGGCATCACTACTCCATCCCAGCACGCAAGCTATGGTACCCAGGCTAGATTTTCCCAGACATGGGACAGACATCACTATTGATTGCAACACGCCACTACAGCCAGCTTTGTTTTTTCTCCTTATGCTGGTTGTCATGGGACTTGAACTCTGAAGGGCATGGGCTCCTCCCCCCTAGACACAGTCTCAGCACTTGGCTTGTAGTCCGCTGTCAATAGCTGTAATCAAAGCAGGCTCTCATTGGCTCCACATAAATCACTGCCCATCTCTGAGCCAATCACAGCAGCCAGGGAAAATGCGAGGTTCTGATGGGCTAGGCCTGAGCTCCTGCCAGGGCTCTTCTCAGGAGCCATTAGGGGGTGCCACGCCGACTCCAGTGGAGTCTGCTTAGCATGGGAAACCATCTATCAGACCAAGATAGGGGCTTCAGAGACCTATCTCTGAGTTCTGGGACTTCACCGAAGTCTACCTCAGAGAATGGGGCTTTACAGAAACATATCTCCAAGTTTTGGGACTTCACCGAAGTCTACCTTGGAGAATAGGGCTTCTAAGAGGCCTACTCCTGGAAAAAGGCTGGCAAGCCCCTGGAAAAGATGTGTTTCTGCCTTTCTTTTCCTCATAAGAGTGCCTATTAATCTTTCTACTGCTCATTGTGCTCACTCATTGTCAACGTTCCCTTATTCAAAGCTCTTTCTTAAGAGTGTTGACGACTCCAATATCTGATGAGTGTCTTAAAAATATGACTAACTCACCAGAGTTAAGTGCTAACCTAAAACCCCTCTTATGGAGGCTAGTAGACAAGTCATAAGTAAATATTGGGGGTTTCACAAAGTCACTTCAGCAGAAGGAATTGTTTGTAAGAGATTTGCAAGAAGCTGTAGGCGCAGCTAGAACAGAAGGAATGTATGGCAATTGCTGAGATAACTACTTAGGAGAAAGAACTTCCTGTTACTCTCTTTCATTTACTAAGAGACTTGCTAGATCTAGGCCTCCGTGACCTTACTATTAAAGAAGGAACAGGAAAGATCTTATGGGACAATTAAGGCCTCTATAGAAATAAGGTAATGGTTAGTTGGTGACAAATGTCGAAACCCATTATATTTCTTAGAGATAAGCCGGAAACAAGTGCCTTTCAGGCGACCAGCTGGTGACCACCTAAGAATGAAGCCCTGCAGCAAGATTGTGTAAACTTTTGCCCTTTCAGGCGACCAGCTGGTGACCATCCAAGAACGAAGCCTTGCAGCAAGATTATGTAACTTTTTACCCTTTCTTATGAAGACTTCTGTTATAAAAGTTTGCTATTCTCTGTATTAAATTGCACTCAGCACTCAGCATCCGCTCCTAATGTGTGTGAGTTGTCTGTTTGCCATCTCCCCATCCTATTCCAGGTTCCTCCCCTAGGTGTCCTCCGTCGTCCCGACAGAACCTGGTCCGCGGCAAGGGGGCACCTCCCCTCCCATTCTTTCTCCTCTCCTCTCCTCCCAGTTACACCACTGGTAGAGGAGTTCAACTGTTGTGGACCTGGAGAAACAGGAGGAAAATTCCTCATCTGGGGAGATGGGCCAGAAGCCTGGGTGGGCACCTAGGAACCCCCAAGTACCCTCTCCCTTCAGGATAAACCTTGTACACAGCAGGAATGCAGTGTGTGTGGGGGAAGCAGAGCATTGGAGCTCACCGTGAAGGTTCCGATACCCGAAGATCAGATGCACCAGGACCACCGTGATTCCCCCCCCACTTCCCACAGCACCTTGAACATGACACCGACGATGGGTCTGGCTGACCTGGAGCCCGGGGTTCTCTGGAGTGGAAGGAAACAGGCAGATGAGGAAATGCTGGGTACTTTTTTTTTTTTTATCTGCCTGGCATGTATCACTCCCATCCTTGAATAAGCACCCCAGATTTCCTTTAGAAAACATCACCTCCCTCATTCCCTGCATTCTGGTGGACTCCACTGCACCCAATGATGCCTAGGATGAGACTGGGTTGGGGGAGCTCAAACCTGTCCAATCAGAACCTCTCATTTTCCTTGGTTGCTTTGATTGGTTCAGAGGTGGACAGTGGTTTAAGTGGAGCCAATGAGTGCCTGCCCTCGGATTTTCATTACAGCTACTGACAGTGAATGATGTGCTCTGTCCCCAGTGAGGTTGCTAACAAAGTGGACTGGGCTCAGAGCAGGTGGTTCTCGCTTGTCTTCCCAGCCACTCTAGAGGTTGAGATCTGAGGATCATGGTTTGAAGCCCGCTTGGGCAGGAAACTCAATGAGACTCTTATCTTCAATGAGTCACCGAAAAGCTGGAAGTGGAGTTGTGACTCCAGTGGTAGAGTGGTAGCCTTGAGTGAAAAACCTCAAGGACATTGCCCAAGCCCTGAGTTCAAGCAAAAAAGAAGAGAGTTCATGAAAAAGAAAAGAAAAAAGATCTAGATGGGTGGAGTGGTTCATATCTCTCATTCTAATTACTTGGCAGGCATACGGGGAGGACTGTGATTTGAATCCAGCCTGGGCAACAATGAGTGAGATCTCCATCTCCAGCAATAACTGGGCCTTGTGGCTGTCATCGCAATGGCATGAAAAGTGTAAACAGGAGGATTATAGACCAGGATAATGTGGCCATGAATGAGACTCTACTTCACATAATAACTAAACAAAAATAGGCCATAGGGGCGTGGCTGAAATGGTGTCGACCTTTAGTTCAACCTCAGTGCCAAAAAGAAAAAGATATAAGAGATGTAAAGACAGTTCCTGGGTGACATGGTTGGGGTGTACATAGATCTAACTAGGCCTGAAGATGAATTTTCCTTTTTTTTTTTTTTTGTTGGATGTGGGGTTTGAACTCTGGGCCTGGGTGCTGTCCCTCAGCTCTTCAGCTCAAGACTAGTGTTGAACCACTTGACCCACAGCCCTGCTTCTGGTTTTCTGGTGGTTTATTGGAGATAAGTGTCTCAGGGACTTTCCTGCCCAGGCTGGCTTTGAACTATGATCCTCAGATCTCAGCCTCTTGAGTAGCTGGACTTACAGGCATGAGCCACCAGTGCCCAACTGAAGACACATTTTCAAAAAGTCTTAAAAAAAGATTTGTTCAGCCATTCTTCCATCAATTACAACGAAGCCCTATTTAGTGTATTTAGAAGAGCTTTTCTGAGTCCCCCTCCCTCTCCCCCCACCTGGAAAAGAAGCAAATGACAATTTGCTCAGCCTGGGTTGTTGGCGGGTCTGTGCCCAGGCAGCAGATGACCAATGGCACCAGTGACCCAGGTTTTAAGGGGGGGCACCAGGGAGCAAAGCTGACCACACTAGTCTCATCGTGAGATGTCTTGTGTGAAGCAGGAATCAGAAGGCATCCTGGGGCCAGCCCTTCACCTCTGAGGACAATGGTTGCTTCTCCCTGGCCGGTCCCCATGGCGTTGGTGGTGCTGCAGATGAAAGTCGTGTTGATGACCTCGTTCACCGCAGCGATCTGGAGCAGGGAGCCCTGGACCTGAGCCAAGCCGGGCAGGATCCCCAAGGTCCTGGCCCAGAGATAGATGGGTAAGGAAGAGGAGATCTCCACTGCAGGTCCCGGGTAGGGTAGCAAAGACACAGAGAGCCTCAGGCTCTGTGGAACACAGGGTGTGGCTCTTCTGTATCACCCATGTCCTGCTCATCTGAAAACCCTGTGCGTTTCAGAAGGATGCTGCCTTTCCAGCCTCTTCCCCAGCATGTTTCTCACCAGACCAGTGTGTGCCATTCCCTATATGGCCACTAGGGACGCGCGCAGCCGAATCCATTTAGCTCTGTAGCCAGCAGGGGGCGCAGGAGCCCAGGTCATCTCAAACCCTGTCAGGCAGAGCTAGCCCCGCCCCCAGCAGACTTGGCACCTGCTGCCTCCAACTACATCAGCTGGCTCTCTCGCCCTCTGCTGGCTAATGGCAGGTAGCACAGGGAAGAAACAGCCATGCAGGAAGCAGAGCCAGCCCTGTGGGAGCTTTAAATTGTGTGGTTCAAGGTAGGACAAGGCAAGGCGACCAGGCTTTTTTTGTTGTTGGTGTTTTTGGTGTCCCTGGGGCTTGAACTTGGGGCCCTGTGCTTGCTGGGGAAGATGGGGCTTCCTCTTGAACTTTACCCTCCTCCTGCTCTCCAGGCTTTTTGGTTGTAGTTAATTCTTAGATAGAGTCTGGCACTTTTGCCTCTGCTCACTTTGAAGCCGGACCCTCCCACTTCCCCCTCTTGAGTAACTGGGATTACAGAGGTGCACCACCGCATATATTTAAAAAAAAAAAAGAAAGAAAGAAATTGCGCTGGGAATGTGGCTTGGTGGTAGAGTGCATGCCGAGTATCAGTTTGATTCCTCAGTACCACATAAAGAGAAAAAGCCAAAGTGGCTCTGTGGCTCAAGTGGTAGAGTGCCAATGCCCAGGCCCTGAGTACAAACCCTGGGACATGCAAAAAAATCAAAATAAAATTACAAAAACATTACTAAGGAGGAATCCGTGTAAAGCAAGCAAGCACCTGCTCACTGCCTTCACTCCCACCAGTAAAGATGCCAAACTTTGATAGCAATCACTTCTAACAACTGATTGATTGAGTCTTTGATGCTTATTTGCTTAGACCCAGGGTTCCAGGCCTCTGCCTCCTTCCTCAGACTCAGGATTCCAGGCCTCAGCCTCCTCCCTCAGACCCAAGGGTCCAGGCACCAGCCTCCAGCCTCAGACTCGGGGGCCCTGGCACCAGCCTCCTCCCTGACACCCAGGGGTCCAGGCCTCAGCCGCCCTCCTCAGGGCAGGCTGGAGTCCCCATGATGCAGGTGGTCCAGTTGAAGTGAGTGTGTACTGGGATTCTCAGGGTGACATCACTGTGACCGACATACCAATTGTGGTCATATCCAACAATGGAGATCTGGGGGGGGGGTAGGGGATGGGAACACACTGGGGTCAGAGCCACAGGCCCTCAGGGCATGAAGCTCCTCAGCTGCCTGGGGTAGACAGACCCATGTGAATGACAGGACATGTCCTCCAAGAACAGAGGCCTGTGCATCCTCGGCCAAGTGGGACAGACCAGGCCTACTCTATTCCTAGGTACTTCTGTGTCTTGGTGCCAGTACTGGGGGCCTTGAAACTCACATTTTTTGTTGTTATTATAAGGTGGGAGAAGGCGGAGCCAGGCAGACGTTGGAGGCAATGTGGGCTGTGGCCTGGGAACGTGGGGTGTGAATAGGGTGATGGCATCATGGGGGGAGGAGGCGTTCTTTCCCTCGCGCATGCGTGGATGCACTCACAGAGCACGGACAGGTGGACGGGCAGCCGCAGCGGCTCCGCCCAGGTCTGGTGCTGCACCACGCAGGTGACGACCTGGCCGTGCGCCTGTCTGGAGGGCACCGCGGAGAAGACTCTGAAGACAGAGATGGTCCTGGGCCACGATTCTGGCCCCTGCGGGGTGTTAGCGGCTCCATGCAGGTGAGCGGACCAGGAGAGGCGCGCAGGGGGGTGCCCGTGGGTGGACTCCCAGCGCCACGGGCGTGGGCACAGAGAGGGCTGGACGTCCCGCAGTGGACACGCAGCACTGTGGATGCTGGGCCTTCAGGGCGACGGCGCTGCTCTGGGGCCAGGCTGGGGGGGATTGAGAGGGAGACAGTGGACAGTTCAAATCCCGTGTGTGTCTCTGGGCAGCCAGCGGAGTGGAGGCGGCCTTTGGAGCAAGCCTGTGCCTCAGTTTCCTTCGTTGTCCACTGGGGATCCCCGGGAGGGATGGGGACACAGGCAACGCTCTTTAGGACGGTCCTGGCCTGTAGGAAGTGCTCAGTGAATATGCCTCGTGGGCTGGTGCTGGGGGCCTAGAAAAGAGGAAGATCACTGCAGACCACCTGGCTCGGCCATGGGCTGCACGATCCCTGGATGGTGTGAGAATCTCTGGGCGGAAGTCCCGCCTCCATGGTGACGTGAACGCCAAGCACGCAGGGACGCTGGGAGCCGGGACGTCCAAGGGCGGCTTGGGGTGCAGGACCGAGTCACCGGATATAGGGAGGAGGGGCTTCCGGTGAGGGGAGAAAAGCGGCAAGAGACACGAGGGGAGACACTCGCCTCCCAGAATGCATCAGTGCCTGGCTCTCCTGAAGAGGGGAGACAGAGCGCCTGCCTGAGAGGAGACCTGGCGGGAAGAGAGGCCCTGGAAAGCCCCGGCCGGAGCAGAGGCCTGCGCAGGGCCGAGAGGCCTACGGAAAGGCCTGTGGAGAGTGGAGAGGTGCAGAGAGGCCGGCAGAGAGGAGAAGCCGGCGGAGAGGTGGAAAGGCCGGTGAAGAGCCGAGAGGCCTGCGGAGATGGGAGAGGCCTGCGGAGATGGGAGAGGCCTGCGGAGATGATGGGAGAGGCCTGCGGAGATGGGCGAGGCCTGCGGAGATGGGAGAGGCCTGCGGAGATGGGAGAGGCCTGCGGAGATGATGGGAGAGGCCTGCGGAGATGGGAGAGGCCTGCGGAGATGATGGGAGAGGCCTGCGGAGATGGGAGGGGCCTGCGGAGATGATGGGAGAGGCCTGCGGAGATGATGGGAGAGGCCTGCGGAGATGATGGGAGAGGCCTGCGGAGATGATGGGAGAGGCCTGCGGAGATGATGGGAGAGGCCTGCGGAGATGATGGGAGAGGCCTGCGGAGATGGGAGAGGCCTGCGGAGATGATGGGAGAGGCCTGCGGAGATGGGAGAGGCCTGCGGAGATGATGGGAGAGGCCTGCGGAGATGGGAGAGGCCTGCGGAGATGATGGGAGAGGCCTGCGGAGATGATGGGAGAGGCCTGCGGAGATGATGGGAGAGGCCTGCGGAGATGATGGGAGAGGCCTGCGGAGATGATGGGAGAGGCCTGCGGAGATGATGGGAGAGGCCTGTGGAGATGGGAGAGGCCTGCGGAGATGATGGGAGAGGCCTGCGGAGATGATGGGCGAGGCCTGCGGAGATGGGCGAGCCCCGTGGGATGCCTGTGGCAATGCCCTTGCTGGTGAGTTAACTCGGCTCATTCAATCCCCCGTTGTCCACTTGATGTCCACTAAAAATGTCATCACATTGCAGCTGCCTTTCGTAGGGAGTTTAGATTAACTCGTGAACAAGCCTGTGCAATACTTCGCGAATGTGTCCATTGTGCACTTGCTCACGCTGCCCCCCGCCGTTGGGGTTAACCCACTGGGTCTTCTACCTGGGCAGCTATGACAAATGGATGTGAGTAAGGAAGAGAGGGGAGAATTGGTCGGATTGCCGAAGTGAGGGCCCAGAGCAGTACAAGGAAAGTGGGGTCCCATGGTGCAGGCGGACTTAGAGAAGACGGCTGTTTTTCCTGAACGATCCCTTTGTCTGTCTCTAGTGATTTATGGAAGATAATTTATTTTGGTTTGTGGCGGTTTTGCTATTTGTTTGGATTGTGCCAGTCCTGGGGCTAGAACCAGGGGCCTGTGCGCTGTCCCTGAGCTTTTTTGTTTAAGGCTGGGCCTCTACTGCTTGAGCCACAGCTCCACTTCAGCTTTGGGTGTTTCACTGGAGCTAAGAGTCTCATGGAGTGGATCTTCCAGGCTGGCTTCAGACTAAGATCCTCAGATCTTTAAATCAGGAGTTATAGTCATGCCTGAGTGGCTCATGCCTGTAATCCTAGCTACTCAGCAGCCAGATCTGAGGCTTTCAGTTCAAAGGCAGCTGGGGCAGAAAAGTCTGTGAGATTCTTATCTCTAATTAACCTCCAGCAAACCAGATGTGGCGCTGTGGCTCAAGTGGTACTGCATTCACGTTGAGCTGAAGAGTGCAGGGACAGCACCCAGGCCCAGAGTTCAAGCCCCAAGACTGACAAAAAAAAAAAAAAAAAAAAAGGAAAAAAGCCCAGCGAAGGCTGGTGGTGTGTGTATATAATGCTATCACCCAGGAGTTGAGGCATGAGGATTGTGAGTTTGAAACCAGCCTGGGTTACAAAACAAGTCCCTGTCAGGAGGAAGGGAAGGCTTGGGATACTTGCCCTGCACATAGGAGAGGCCTTGGGTTCAAGCCTAAGTACTGCAGGGACCCCTCCACACCCCAGTGGCACAAGGCCTCTCCCTACTCCTCCCTCCACCATCCAATTTCCAGTCCCCACAATGCACTTGGAACACCATCTCTTTGCCCCTTTGCATGCTCTGTCCTCCCTGCCCTAGAGGCCACGCCCCACCCCAGCCACCTTGTCCCACTGGTATTGCCACTTCAAGTCACAGCTGAGATGTCGCCTCTACCAGGAAACCCTTTCAGCCCCCTTATTTTCTCCAGGGCTGTGACCCCATGGAGGAAAGAGGACAGGCAGGAGCCGCCACCACCATTGTGTCAGGACTGAGCATGGGGAATGAATTGATTGAATGAATGAATGATTGTCTCTGTGTGTCTGCGTATGCCAGTCTTGGGGCTTGAACTCGGGCCCTAGGCACTGTGCCTGAGCTTCTTTTATCCCAAGGCTAGCATTCTACTCCTTGAGCCACAGAGCCACTACTGGCTTTTTCTGTGTATATGGTACTGAGGAATCAAACCCAGGATTTCATGCATGCTAGGCAAGCACTCTTACCACTAAGCCATATTCCTAGCCCTGTGGCTTGTTTTCTGTAGCTGCTTTGTATCTGGTTAACCCATGAAGAAATTAGATTTCATTTAGTTTTGTGTCTGGTTATCTGTTTCTGTTTGGATCCCCTTGTATCTGTTCATATCCCCTAAGAATGTTATTTTTCATTTCTTGCATTTGTTATTGTATAGGTGATATACAGAGGGGTTAATATTCCATAAGTCATGTAAAGAGTACATTTGTTTTTGGATGTCACCTCTTCAGGGAGAGAGCAAGCTCCCTGGTTGTCCCTCCCATCCCACAGACAAGTTGTACAGTTTATTTTTTTGCTTTTGTTTGTTTGTTTGTTTTGGTCAGTCCTGGGGCTTGAACTCTTGGCCTGGACGCTGTCCCTCAGCTCTTCAGCTCAAGGCTAGCACTCTACCACTTGAGCCACAGCGCCACTGTGGGTTTTTCTGTTTATGTGGTTCTGAGGAATCGACCCAGGGCCTCATGTATGGGAGGCACACACTCGCCCACTGAGCCACCTTCCCAGCACCTATAGTTCATTTTCAACATAGTGTGCAGTGAGCACCACTGCTGCATTTGCTCACCCTTTGTCCCTCCACTTCAGAATTCACCCTTACCGTCCCAAAGACAGATAAATGCACAAATGGGACAAAAAAGAAATGAAAGCTAGAACAGGAACCAAGAAATAAAACCAAACACCCACACACAGATCCTCTCCACTTCCTGGACTTCATTTCAAGAAATATTGCCTTATATGATCAGATGCACACAGCTATTGCATGTCTGTGACTTCCCACCCCAGGGCGCCTTCCTGACTGCCTGGGCACTGGTGGCTTCTAACAGCAGGTGGGAGGGCGGGTTTTGGACTGCAGCAATCTGACCAAGAATGGAGAAATATGATTGTGATAATGAGAAACATACAATTATGAACAAGAGAAAAATATGAGAAAAATACAATTTTATTTATTTATTTAAAAAAATTTTATTGTGAAAATACTGTACAGAGGGGTTACAGTTACATGGGCAAGATAATGAGTACATTTCTTATCATGCATTGTAGCCTCCTCCTTTGTTTCCCCTTTCCATCCCTTCCCATCCTCCCCCCGCCCCCCAAAAAAATACAGTTTTAAAAGAGAGACAAATATGATTTTGAGAGAGAAAAATGCCATTATGAAAAATAGAAAAATACCACAAAAGTACAATTTTAAGAGAGAAAAATATGACTATGAAAAAGAGAAAAATACGATTGTAAAAGAGACAATTACGATTATAAAAAGAAAACTACCAGAAAAATACTACTGAAAAAGAGAGAAAACTAGTATTATGATAGAGAAAAATCCCAGAAAAATACGATTTTAAAAGAGAAAAATAAGATTTTGAGAGAGAAAAATACAGTTATGAAAAAAGAAAAATATAATTTTAATTGAGAGACAAATACGATTATAAAAAGAATATCAGAAAAATACAATTTTAAAAGAGAAATATGATTATGAAAAAGAAAAAAACAGAAAATATGATTGTAAGAAAGAAAAATAGGATTTTGAGTGAGAAAAATATGATTATTGTTGGAGGGAGCCAATACTAACTCCATTTTTTAATATACCAGGAGTTTCCCCTGCCCCGAGAATCAAAATACTGGTTTCTCACAAGCCCCCAGGGTTAGGAAACATGTTGTTTGTTGAGACTCTGAGAAATGTGGAAACTTTGGAAAGCCCAGATGATGGTTGTGATGTGTAATCCAGACAGGATCTCAATAGCCCAGATGGGATCTGAGCCCAGTTTGGTTCTCAAGAGCCCAGACAGGATCTGCAGTCCTGTTTGGTTAACAATAGAACAGTCCAGCAGCCTTTGCCCTTCCAGGAAGGAGCAGCCTTATCCTTGCCCCCAGGAGTAAGAATATCTGCCTGCTTTGTGTGGGGACCCCCAAATTCGCACACCAATTCAAACCAGAATGATAGGTTAGTTCAAACAGATCCTATGAGATGGACTGTAACCCCATTGGCCACTAACCTAATATGCATTCTTTATGTGTGTGTTACAATCCCGTTGGCCACCTGTGTGTGGCCAGGCTAGACCACATGGATGTTTGTTTTAAAACCTTTGGTTTGTGAGTCATTCCGGGTTGCAGTTTCAGCTCCCAAGTCTGTGCTGCCTCCTGGGCTGGTCAGCTATCCACTTCTCCAATAAAGTCGTCTTTTTACATGAGGCTGTCTCTGAGGGGTGGACGCTTTTCCCAAAAACAATTATGAAAAAGAGAAAATAGCAAGAAAACACGATTTCTATTAAAAGAGAAAAAAAAAGATTTTGAGAGAGAATAATACCACTATTGAAAAAAGAAAAACAACAGAAAAACACACTTGTAAAAGAAAGAA